CCCCAAAACCCCAAAACCCCAAAACCCCAAAACCCCAAAACCCCAAAACCCCTTTAAAGACCTTTATAATTTAAAAATGTTATATTAATATTAAAAATGAGATCCTTAAAATTTAGCTTGTTTTGAATGGTCTTAACCCTTTTTATTGCTTCTTTCGGAGCAGCTGAGATTGTACTCAAGCATGTAGAGCATTTTGAGGATGAAAATCTAAGCTTAAGTACTGATATTTTGCCTCAAGTTGCAACATCTGGGCCTACTAGAAAGTAAGCATTTGATAATATTGTTAGTGTCGGACCTAGAGGCATAAGCTCAAAAAGTCCGGAAGAAACCCGACATCTGAGGACTAGTAATAACAGAAGCAATTGTAATGGCTGTAGTGAAAAGTAAGTTTCTGAGAGGAAAGTCCTAGCCTGCCTTTCATTGATTTTCAATAACGTTACATTAATGTGTTAACATAATTAATTAGCGAAGGAGCCGAAGTTAACTCGACAAGCACCATTATTGTGTCCTGTATTATTGTCTTTTCATGCTGATGTGTCTTCTCAATTGGATTCCTGTGGCATCTCATGACCAAGAAGCAAAGAAACATGCAAGGAAGAAGAGTCAGGAGGATCACAGCTGATGCTAATGTTACAGTAGAGACTATTACGATATCTAGAGCTGAGCTTGACAGAAGTCTTCCGGCTAAATTGTAAGCCTTTTGGACTATTTTCTAGGTTTTCTAAGCACGATAATAAGTATTCGTGTACTGAGTGATCAATTTGATTAAAGGAGTTTGAGAATACAGAGAAGGTGAGAATTGTGGAGTCATGAAAGCACATGTTTCATTCTGATTGAGTTGTGGAAATGATCAAATCCATGCCAAGATTAAACCCAAAATGACCTCTTTGCCAAGGGCCTATCTTCTCTGGGGCACTAGTAACAGATGTATAATATAGAAATCTTTGTTGAATTTCTTGTCCTAAATTTCTTAGAGTAACATCAGACTTGTTCATCTTTTTAATTATCAATATCTTCAAAAATGGTTACAAGAAGTCTTGCTCTTGCAATTTTCCTTAGCGTACTGGAGAAATAGGCCTAAATTGTAAGGCTTAGGGTAAAAATGTGTTAGGCATGCTAACAGTCAATAACTTTGTCTTATAAGCCACTTGCTTTTAAACTGTTGGTTTATTGCTGTTATAAAATAGTTACACATGAATCACTATTATTCAATTACTGTGATTAATACATTTTGGGCATTCTGCTACTCATTAGTCTTCTGGCTTGACTTATTAGCCTCAGGATGAGCATAGTTCAGTTTATTTAGCCTGTGGAAAACATGTTAGTTTCAGTTTTAAATCTGACTAGTTTATAATTGTTCATGATTGGAAATATGAGTCCAGAGTATGAATTTTGGTAAATTCTCTCAACATTTTATATTTAGCTTTGGAATTATTCTTCCATAAAGCTTCAAGGTTCCCTTCTTATAAGGGGTTTTGGGGTTTTGGGGTTTTGGGGTTTTGGGGTTTTGGGG